TTTTAAGGGTGAAAACAACTAATATTATGAGTGTAACTTTGAAAAGTAATGTCAAAATTATTTCAATTTTTAAAAACGTATATCTTTCTCATTATATATATATTTTCATAGTTGATGTCAAGTCTACTTTGAAAAACTCATTATTTCCTTACGCAGTCTGTGTACTCTTATTTCGTAGTATCGATCGCAGAACTTTTATATGAAGAAAATGTTGTTACAATTTAACAGCTCTAGACGTTATAATTATTGGATTAAAAGAAAAGTAGAGAAAAAAAATATGAAATAAAAACATTTCTTGATATAAACTACTCGAACGTATAAGAATATTAATACTCTTTTTAACTGTGGAAAAAACTTCTAAATCTGACCAAGATGATAATAGAAAAGGAAATACAAAAAACATTCAGTTGATAAAATAGACGACTTTAAAATCCCCTTAATAAGTTTTTTAAAAAATTTGACATTTTTCTATGTTTTTTTAAGATAATTTAAATAGGCATTTTAAATATTGGATACACCCTTAAACTTTGACAGCTTTTAAATGAAAAAGTTTTCCCTCAAATGGAATTTAAAAGTAACATTTTGAAAATATCTTGAAGTTAGAAATATGCGATAAAAATGATAGTTTTCTTAAAAATTTCAAAATAACATAATCGTATCAACATCCAAGAATAAATAGATGGTACTTTTTTATCCTTCAAACAGCTTTTGTTTGAAATACATTTTTTAATATCTTTCTTTCCAGATATTTGAAGTAGACATTTGGAATAAATCATCATGTATAACATGATATTTTGATGAATGATCTAATGGAACCAAGCGCTTTTTATTTCAGGACGGGCGTAAATTAGGCTTCGGCGGCATGCATGGCATACCCATGGTTGCCAGCAGCCCCGTGAGACACGAGAGTCCTATTGGCATGACGCCTCTGGAAGTTCAAGCTTATCAACCACCATGGAAAGCGCTTTCGGAGTTTGCGCTTCATACAGACTTGGAACGACTGGATCCTAATGCACCATCGTTCCATCATTTGGTGTCTCAGGTAACCATATTCAAAACATTTAATTTCTTGTTTCTGCAAAATATCATCGAAAGTGACTTTCGCCTCGAACAGTAACTTTTGCCCTGGCGAAAATAAAAATCGAGCGAATAAATCGAATATAAGAGGAGAATGACAGAAGAGTAAACGAATCATCTAGGACGCAAATGAAAAATGAGACAACGAAAGAGACGTTTATTCTTCTTTTACGTTTCATTGTCTCAATTTTCGTTTTCTAGTTGTTCTTCGTTTATGTTTCCTTTCATTTTATATTCGATTTTCACTTCAATCTTTATTCGCCAGAAGCAAAATTTTTTGAAAAAAATATCTTCCTACAAATATAACTAGACACGAATGAAAGAGAATGAATTTACAATGGCTACCAAAAGATAAGTTCTGGCTTAGATAATTTTACGACATATTTTTTTTTTATTAATGGTTTTCAGTTTATATATTATAAATTAATATAAAATTTTTATTTTAAGATCATGATAATTTAAATAAAACTAAAACATATTCCAGTATTTACATATTAGATTATTTTATTTGTAAAGATTTTTTATCTATAAACAATACAATAAAATTATTTAGTTGGCTGGAAACTTTTGGCAGCCACAGTATACTCATACCAAGAGTTGTGTTTACTCAGAAAGTCGAGTGTTGTTATTGCAATAATTGCAGATGCACGGCTATGACTTGCATGGGGGACCACCGCCGCAATTGGCACCCCCGCCAGGAATGCTTGGCGGACCGATGAGCGACGGTGGAGGCGGACCGTTACCGCCTCCGGGGCCTCATCATCCAGGTGGTGGCGGGCCGGACATGGGCCAGCATCCCGACAGTACCGACAGCTACGTGACCTATGTCGAGAGTGACAGTGACTCGTTTCACCACGATACGGGAAGTCCATAGTGTCGTGCAAGGCATGAACGTAAAATTACTACGCCCCCGTTGTCCTTCGCTTTCGTAACGACTCTCGTCATGGTGCTCATCATAATGGTGAGATGCCTGCAACGGCGAATATGGAGCGGTTACGGAACTAGGGAACATCGTGATACATATGGATATAGGAGAAACAACTCAGATACCAAAGGATGCATCGATCTTTCGACGATAATTAAATAGACTCGTACCGCACTATTACCAAAAGTGGCTCGAAAACGACAAGTGATGAATATACTGAAAATGAACGGCGAAGGAAAGGAGGGGCAATGTCGCTGTCTTGGACGTACATGAATAATGTATTTTCATTTTAGTTATAAAATAATTTCTTTGAAATGACACAAAAGAAGTTTGCAAAAATAACCGTCTAATCATTGAGCGTACAAAAGTTTCAAAAACCTTGAACATCCTGTATATTATCAGCTTATTGATATAAAATCGAATTCTGGCCAGACCGAGCATTATATTATTTTGATTCCCGCCATTTTGACTTTTAATAAACGTGGCGTTTCCGTGTGTCTCTATCGTTTTGCATTACATTACATTATTAACGTAACAATGAAAATTCGCTACCTGTGTAAAATTATAATATCAATTTCGCTGAAGATTTGTAAACGGCTTGTACGCGTGTGTCGTTAACTGCCTGTATATACCAGAAGATGCGATTCGGTATCCAGTCTGGAAATACACTGTACATAGTTGCTATTCGCTGTAAATCTAAGCAATGTTAAATCATAATGTACTCAGGCGCAAGTTGTAGCGTAGAATACGAATAATGGAATATATATACAGATACATATAGGCACACTGAATTTACATTGATAATTGTATTATTCCAGTTATGTTAAGTTTCGTAACGGCAGAAGATATACATATTCGTGAAAGGATACAATTTTATTTAACCATCTTCGACGGGAAAGTTACCGTTATCGTTGTTAATTCTGCGTTATCTCTCAAATTTGTATGGAAGGCGACTTTGTATTTGTACGACATACGTCTTGACTTGTTAAGAGATGGATTACGCTTAGTTACCGAAGAAGCATAAGGGAGCGGTGCTCCTTCGTTTTTATAATTGGATATAAAAAAGTTATAATTTAATGGATGCAATCGATATCATTTAGAAAGGAGCGAGTCAAAAGAAAATTAAAAAAAAATTAATAAGAATTAATTACATATAATGTATAATATATTATACTATATATAATATATATTCGTTTAATGATATTTTTATTAGAAATTCAGCTAACTTTTATTATATATATATATTATAT